ATTAATTCCTGTTTGAATAATTGAAAGTACACTAATTACTGAGGAATGATGTGCCTTAATCCAGAATAGAGTGTCCACACAGGGAACTGGTCCAGAATACTTACTGAAGAACATCTTATTCTAATCAATTTCCTTGTGTAAACAAGCCCTTACTGAATGTAGTAACCAGGGGTCTATTTCCTCTGTGGACGCTCTATCCTTTAGGGTACACCATCTACCATTGCTATTGCTGGGTGCCACCCTTCCCCTTCCCACCCCAATAAATACATTTTAATTCACACTTAAATGCTACGTGTTTCTCTGTAGCAAATGTCAACCCAACTGCATATTACTCCTACATTATGTCTGTAAGAAGAAGAGTTTAATTCCTAAACAGAAGCGCCTCATTTTTTTGGTTGGCAGAACTGGGAAACATTGGAGATTGTGTGTGTTGGACTGCAGGGGGAAGTGGAAATTTGGCACTATGTCAAAGTGATCTCTATTTTTCAATTTTCATAGACATTTTTGGTCCCTGCACAACTGCAAGGTCCACTTCAAGTGTCAAAATTCTTCTTTAAATACAAATGATTGTAACCAAGGTTGTGCTGATGCAATCTCTCGGGTAACTCCAGTGTTCTCCTCACAAATGCCAAATCTGATTATGCTGTACTATGTGCTGTATGCCTGACAAATTTTGTGTTACAATAACAATTATAAGATTGCAAAAGAGTGCTTCAGAATTCTTAAGTTTATTTTTTATTCACAAATTTAAATTTAAACATTTTAAAGTGTTGTCTTTTTTTCCAAAACCTAAAATTCCATGTTCCAAGGCATGGAACATTTTTACAGCAGAATTACACAGCCCTGGAAACAGTGGTTTATCTCAGTAACACCGATTAGAGTGTTATATGTAGACATCACACTCTCTAGTGTAACAAAGTATTTCAAACGTAAGTGCAGGCATATTCAATTGGCAACAGAATCATGTGCAAACAATCGTCTTTTCTAGGTAATAATTAACTTTCACAGAGCATAATGTACACCATACAAGGTTAATACAGCACATTAAATTGATATTTCAGTCTAAAATGATATTAACTTTGCAATTGCTGCAAGTGAAATACTCCCTGCACAAAAACCCAGTACGTAATATCCCTTTGCCCTTTTACAGCACCTTTTATTTGAAGAGTTCAAAGCACTTCTAAAATATACATGAAAGCCTAACATGACCCTGGGATGGAGGCAGGTAAGTATCCATTTTGGAGATGGGCATACTGAGAACAAAAAATTCAGTGTCTCGTCCAACTTCATTCTGCACGTCTATGACGGAGCTGGGAATAAAGCTCAGTCCTTCAATTAAGTACATTTAAGAACCTCTTTAATCTCTCTGAAATGGCTATATAACATTCTTTAATAATAGATTTTAGCACTCTAAAATTAAACAAAACAAAATCTATGCCAAGTAGAATAAATTAGAAAGTAATCAAATATTATTATGGTATTTTCTTTATGCAGAGCACCTGCCTTCGTTTAGACTATCATAATAGTTTTGGCGATTCTTTGCTATATCTCAGCTTTAACCATACTAGAATAATATTTTATATAATGAAGTTTTTACTTTTCTAGAACATTGTTCTATTAGAAAGTGAGCTTATTCACAAACTGAGTTGGCAAGTCTCTTCCATTATCTGGTATGTCAAAGAAAGATAGATATTGCTATAATAGATCAGATCAAGGCTCAACTGGTCAGATATCCTATTTCCAGCAGTGCTTATTACTCAACATATCTAATTTAAATTCTTACCCCCACTCGTCCATGAAGCAAGATGCATAATACTATTGCTGTACATGGGGGGAGGGAGGGGGAATATTCCTCTCTGAACCCCTTCAGCTGGTCAGCTTGCACTCTGATCCATGAGGTCTGATTAACCATATGCATGGCATCAGCAATATACAATGATCCTGTTTCACCTTGGAGTCAACACTCCAGACTAACACAGACTGGTTGTGCTTGAAAGTTAACCTTTGTACTATAGTTTTCAATGAAACACCAATGGGGTCTGTAATTAGCTCCACTACAGGAGTCATCTCTACTGAAGGTACGGGCAAGAGTGACTTGAATGTTATTATAACGACCTGTAACAGATAATTCCCAAGATCTACAGTAACTGATTGCATAAGAGACTCACTTTACCACAGCTAGTAACAGCTACAAAACAATTGTTGTGAAATCACAATTACTAGGCAGTGTAGAAAAGTAAGAATGTTCTTCCAATGTTCCTGGCTTCCAGTTTTTCCTTATTTATAATGCTTTTGCATAATTCTGCAAAGTTTAACCTTGAAAATACTACACAAATTAAACAGTGGCAAAACATTTTGAACAACCAACTGCTTTACTGCTATGCTGATGGAAGAGGCATTTAAGAAAATATAAATGACACTTTGATGTCATTTCCTGACTTTTTGTTTTGAAGACTGACTCATGGAGTAGTAGGTTTTCCTGCCAACTTAAACAACAGCTTTCAACACTAGGTTAGAGGGTAAAAAGTATGTGCAATTATTCAAACTTTTTTGGTAGTATTACTTGGGAATTCATCAGAACAGTTCAGGGTTGGGACTGTGAAGCACATATAATGTATAGATAGCAGTACAATATAGTTAGCTTTAAAAGGAAAGAGGAAAAGCTTGTTTTTAAAGTAACACAGATCCCCACCCCACAGTCTTTACTCAGGCAAAACTCCCATTGACTTCAGCAGGCTGGGCTCAGAGTCTACACTAGACCAATATTTTTTACTCTTTTCCATAACATGACCCTATATTTCAAAGAAAAAATCGTTTCTGGACCCAATCTTTTTCCCATCTAGCCATAAATGACCTCCCTAGACCTGTTCCCTCCCTAGACCATCCCCAGTGGAGGATGCAATCCCCATGTTGAGAACCAATGCAATATATCAGTTTCACTAAAAGCCATCACCCAATAGTGCAGTAATAGAAAACTTGTGCAGCTCTAATGTAGACAAGGCGTTGGCAGCATTTTAACCATCATATTGCCTTCACATACGGCTTGTCTACCTGGAAAATTTTTACTTGTTATGCCAATACAGTTAACAGTGGCTTTCTTTGGTTTAGCTTAAACCTTTTCCTCAATGCCATAAGCTAAAATTGAAAAAAGGCAATCATACCAGGATACAAGTGTCCACACAATGGGTTATGATGGTGTAACTATATCTGTTAAGATTCACATATTAATGCCTACACCGGGAAATTCAGTATACAGGGTCATAGTCTATACAACAAAGTGATAAAAAACAGTGGAGCTGCCAGTGCCTTGCCTATACAAGAGCCCTCACCATTGCTACCACCAATAGGAAACACTGGGGGAAAGATTGGCATTACACAAGGTCTGAGTTAAGGATTCAAGAATCCAACACACAGTTTGCTTGGCCTGATGTTGTGAGAAAGTGATCAAACAGTTCTGGGAGATGTAGCTTTCATCTGATACCAACAGCTGACTGCCCCTGCAGGCAGAACCAGGGAACTAAGCTCACTTCAGAGAAGCCTGCCCTGGAGGGAAAAAAACTTGGTACCTGGGCCTTTTCAGCCCATAATTTGTACATGCAGCTTCACACTTTCAACACACCCCACATCCACCAAGAAACCAAGACCTGGGAGAAGATAACAGAGGTAAACAAGGGGAAACAGAACAGCAGGGGCTGCACATGACTACCAAAGATGACATATCAACGAGGCATTTCAGCTACTAAAGATTCAGCCTTCCCCTTTCCAATACATCCAGAGAACCATAGGAGATAAAAATATTCTGGAAACTAAAGGCCAGATTCTGATTTATGTCTGTGAAACTGAAATCAGATCCTAATCCATTGAAACCAAATAGAACCATAATCTCTGCTGGATCAGAATGAGAGACAGACTATTAGCACTAAACGAGAGAGTTCAGAACAGAACACTTATTTCATTTACATATATAAATACACTTACAATATATATTTACATAAATAAATACCAGCATCAGTATATCAATGAGTTAAATAGCATGCTGCTCACATGCTCATTGAAGGGACCCTGACAGTTTACAGTAAGACTAAATCGTGCGCTTTAAAAAAAACCACACCAAGGTACTATATGCATGCTGTTCACATGCTAATTTAAAGGACACAGCAGACAAATCTATGATTTGTAAAACTAAGCTTTTTATAATATTAACGCTTCATTAGAAATATTTTCATGCTTTTTTAAATCCCAGTGGAACCAGTTTTGTTGGGCTGTAGCCATTTCACTATCTGGTCAGCAGCTCAAACAGAGCAATATGCACAAAAATAGGGGAAAAAAGGAAAACCCACTATCAACCTGGGGGAAAACAGCCATTGCATTTTCTTCATCCAAGTTCAGGAAAATGCAAAAAGTGAACACACAGAAAAAAACAGTAAAAAGTTCATTTGATTTTTAAATTTCTTTCCATTTTAATCTGTGGGGTCAGTGGCAACACAGAGAAGGATTTTTAATAGTTTTAACTGGACATTTCCCCCTGTTGCCATGTCTGCCCATTTTCCAAAGGCCAGTGGCTGGAGGGGATGAGTGCGGGGAGGGGAAGGAGCCAGAGAGACATGGATAAACTGCATATGAACCCAGGGATGTACCCGAATGGCAAAGGGGGGGGGGATGGAGGGGGACAGGTGCCATTTTGTAACCTGGAAATTTTGCACAGGCAAAGCCTATTAGGAGTCACAATCCAGCCTCAGCCACATCTGGCTCTACACCCCCACCTGGGGCGCATCAGTGCCCCATGCCCACCCCTCCCCCAGCAAGAGAGGCGAAGGATCCCACCCGAGGGAGACGTGGTGCCTGCCCAGCATGCCCACCCCGCAGCCCTGCCCGGCCCTTAGGCGCCTCGGCCCGGGCACCAGCTGCCTGAGGAGAAACCTGCTCTTCCAGCCAGGCCCAGCACCGAGAAGCCGCGATTCCCCTCCCCCAGCCCCCGGGGCCTCCCCGGCTGCGCTCACCTTGTCCGGGGATGCGGAGGGCGCGGCCGCCCCGTGCTGGACGCAGAGGGCTCTGCGCGCCCCGCTCCCCGCGCGGCCCCTCTTCGCCGGGGCGCCCCCCACAGCCCGCGCCGGGGCCTGCTGAGCTGCTGCCGCCCCAGGTGTTCCAGCCCCGCCAGCGTCACAATGCCGAACGCAGGCTCCTCCGCCGGGGAGACCGGCCCCGAGCAGGGCGGAGCCTCCGTCACCTACATCCTCCTCCCCGCCCCCGGCTCCGGCCCTCGGGAGCGTTGCCCTGGCGCGAACCCGGGGCGAGCGGGCCCTATTGTCCCCAGTTCCGTGCCTGGCACCTCCCTGGGATTGTCCGCGCCAGGCTGACACTCACCCCTGCCCCTTTGTCTGCCCCGGCTGGCTGAATTCTGTACTGGAGGCAATACATGAAATTCTCTCCTCCCCCCACCCCCCCGGAATCAGGAAGCCTCTGTGTGCTGGGAGGCAGGGCGACCTAGTGGGTACAGAGCGGCGAGGAAGGAATGGACAGCAGGGGCTGGATCCAGCTCCCATGAAAGTCAAGTGAGAGCCTGGCCATTGACTTCCAGCCAGAGAGTTGGAGCAGCCCCCATGAGTCTTCATACCTCTAGTAGTATTGCCAATATCAGATGAAAAATCATGAGTCAGCTCCCCCAAAATCATAAAACTGCCCCCAAAAAACCATGAGATTTTTTACAAAGATTATATTGTCTTTTTTAGGTCAGTCTCTGGGTTTTTGAACTCCCTCTGCCCATCCCCAGGGTATATGCATGTGACAATTAGTGTTTCCCATTCTCGCACAGGTACTGGATAAGGTAACTTTGGCCTCTGCTCCAGGAGCTCTCACCTCCACATCTGCTTGATTCTTGCCCAGCAATTAATCCTGTCCTCCAGTCCCCCATCAGTTGTGTCCCCACTCAAGCCCCCTCAGTTTAGCCTCCCTACTCCATAGACCCCACCATCCTCAGTTCATCCTCTCAGCACTCACCCCATTGCTCAGAACTCACCATCAGTACAGCCCCTGCATCCTACCAGCCCCCACCCTTCTCACTTCAGTCCCCCTGCAGCACCCAGGCCACAGTTCAGCCCTTCCAGCCTCATTTCTATTCCTCTTAGGGTTCTTCACCCTCCCCAAGCTTGGGGCAGGGGGGCTGCAGTGGGGTCCCCTCTCCTGTTACTCAGGGTTTTCAGAACCCAAAACAGTGGTAACTTAACTGTTTCTCTCCAGGTAGTGTCAGTAATAAATCAATGGGGGCACAGCTCAGCCATCTGACATATCATGGCACAAGCTAGAGTCTTTTATTAGATCTTAAGCACACACACATACATATGCTGTCAGCGTAGGTTTAGAGCATTTCAAAACATTTATATTTACCTAAAGTTAAGAAATGGTTTAAAAGGATCAGTGGCCAGGCTCCGGGGCGGGGCGGGGGGGGGGAGGACACATCTCCCTTCCCTCTGACTGCTGGAGAGCTTAGATGCCAGATCCATGCTCAAAATCCATGCTCAAAGAAAACTTCCTCGAATTGCTCCAAAGCAAATTATTTTGCCTACTCTTTTATAGCTAACTTCAAAGCACATAACCTATTGTGACTCCTAGTGGGTCACCATAGTAATCCCTAATGGGTCACTAATTCTCCTACTTTCAGCAAAACTACTCATTATCTCTTATCATCAAAACATTTCTGGTCATAACAATAATAAAACTTACATATCAAAGGTGTCAGAGGTGCTCCAGGCCAAGGTCGACCATCTAAACCCTCCTTCTATTCTCACAATACATTCACTTCTTAACCCATCCTCCCATTCTGATAGCAAAATTGCAGACATGCAATTATTTGGCCTTGCCTCTCAAGGCCTAAAGATTTTCCTAGCTATGTGATTTTGATTTTCAGCTGGCCATGGCTCAACATACAAAATTGCTGACTGCAGTACTGTCACATTCTGGGGTACATGCAGGACTGTGAAATTCTGGGGTAACACTCCCACTTCCCAGGTTGGTAGGGAAGCAGCTACCTGAGGCTGACAGCTGGAGCTGAAAAAAAATCCTGAGCTTTGAGGGGGTCTATCACGAGATTGTGAGTGAGGCTTAATTTTACTTAGAAATCACATCTCTCGCAATAAATTTGTGAGAGTTGGCTAGTCTGCTCTCACCCTGCCAAGGCCTGAGTGTGGGATGCATTGTGGGATAAAGCCCCCAAATGAGGGACACACAGAAATGATTCAGTTAGGAAAATTGAATGGCTGTAATTCCTTCCTTCACTGTAAATGACGCCTTCTGTAACCTCCCTTTTTCATGCTTACTCAACAACAAAAATGAGGTTTATGTGGAGTAATGGGAACTGGGACAAACATGAGGGGCATTTGAGAGGAAAACATGTAAAGAAAGAGTAATGGGTTCTTACTTTTCCCAGTGCCCTTGCTTCAGGTTCTCCTCACCAATAAAAGTGAGAGTGCAGTAAAATTAATATTATTTGTTTCTATTAAGTAGTACCTAGGAGCCCCAGTCATGGAGCAGGACCCCTTTGTGCTAGGTGCTGTCCAAACACAGAACAAAAAGATGGTTCCTGTCTCAAAGAGTTTGCAGTCTAAGTCAAAAGAGAACAGCCAGACCAATGAGGGAGAGAATATTGGTCAGCATGATAAGCTGTGATCCCAGTTTACCAGCTACCTAACTGTTGTCAAGTCTTTTATAGGCAGCAGGGCAAAGGAGAGTTTTAAGGTGGGGTTTGAAGGAGGACAACGAGGTAGCTTTGTGGATGTTTACAGGGAGCTCCTCCCAAGAATGTGGGGCAGCAGGGGAGGAATTATACAGGTGCTTGTTTGAAGAATTAACAAGTGGGTGATGAAAGCTGCATCATTGGCCAGTAGGAATCAGTAGTCAACATGTCGATTGTGAATGGGAGATGATAGATGGGGTAAGGATAGGATGTGAAGGCCTATTTGTGAAGAAGACCACAAGGCTGATGAGAGCTGGATTGGTGCTTTTTACCTCACAACAGTCCTTGGCTTCACAGGACTGTGCTGCCTTGACTCCCAAAACCCGCTGCCCCAGTGGCTCCTGTTCTGTGGGGCTGGCTGGACTCAGCTCTCCGTTCCAGCTATTGTGACCTGGCCCCTTGTGCCTGGGGTCACAGTACTGACAGGACAAAGCTGAGTGGTACTGTGACCCCATCTGCCAGGGCCAGGTTGCAATGCCTAGGGCAAGGAGTCAAGCCCAGTGGGACAGAAGCTGCAGGAGCTGCCACTGTGGGGTGAATGTGGGGTAGGCTCACTCAGCAACTGCCCCCCAGGTCTCCCAGCCCTGATCCCTGCCTAGGGCCTTCCACACACTAGGAGCAGCATCTGACACTCCACCCTGGGCCTCCCACCCCTTAGAGGCAGGACCCATACTACTTTAGCTACAGGAAATGTTGGGAGATACGGAGTTTCAGCTATGTGGATGGATAGGAAATTCCTTCTCTTAGAGATATTATGCAGAAAGAACCAGCAGGATTATATATAACCTAGATGTAAGTACCTAGAGAGAGAGCTGAGTGACCCCCAGGTTACAGGCCTGAGTGACTCGCAGGATAGTGATGTTTTCTACAGTGATTGAAAAATGAGGAAGTGGGAAGGATTTGGGATGAAAGAGTAGAAGCTCTGTTTTATCCAAGATGAGCTTAAATTTATAGCTGGAAATTCACGAGGAGATGTCAGAAATACAGGCCATGATTTTAGTGTAGCCATCAGGAGATGGGTCTGGAGAACAGAGGCAGATCTGTGAATTGTCAGCATAAGATGGTAGATAAATTTTTGTTTGTGGATCAGATTATCCAAAGACAAGGTGTAGAAGGAGAAGAGAGGGGGATCGAGGATGGAGCTCTATGGAATCTCCACAGAAAGTTGGAGGGGGATGAGGAGTATCTGCTGAAGAACATGTTGAAGAAGCTATTAGGAGAACAAAGAAAGGAAAGAGTTACAGTAGCTGAAGGAGGACAGGATTTAAAGAAGAGCATGATCAATGGTGGCTGACTGGCCAAGGGGGATGAGTACTGTTTCTGAGCTATGGCTAGAAACGGGTGCTTAGAGACTTTGGTGAGAGATTGTTCTATGGAATGCAAGGGACAAAATCTGGATTCGAGAAGGTCTAGCATAGAACTCCAGACATCAGTTGTAAACAACACATTCAGTGAGTTTAGAGATGAAAGGGAGATGTGGCAGTAGTTGGAATGGCAAGAAGGGTGGAGGTTTAAAAAGGGAAAGCCTAAAGCATGCTTGTATTGTGAATGGAAAACGCCAGAAGAGAGTGAGAGATTAAGGAGAAGTTTAAGGGATGCAATGAGAGTGGGTGCAAGGGAGTTCAGGAGATGAGATGGGATGGGATTATGTGGGGAAAGCGGAGGAGTTAGAGGGGGAAAGCAGATAAGAAACTTTGGCAACTGAGACAGGGGAGAAGGAGGAGAGAGCTGAAGGTGAGAGAATGAGCAGGGGAGAAATGAGGGACATTTTGAGAGGCATGGGACTGTGATTATTCTGATTATTTTCCTAGCTTGCTGGTGTCCCAAAGTCCTTATACCACATAATCACTATGCAATGTAACGTGACAGAACAAACAACATAACACTCAAAATACAGACAAACAAACAAACAAACAAACAGCAAGAACAACAAACCCCCAACCTAACACTTTTAGCTAGGAATGCCATGGGTGATAATGCGTAGCTGGTCCCACAACCATTTCCAAGGTGTTAAAGCCCAAATCCTGCAATATGAGTCAAACAGGAATCCACTCACATGGATGTCATGCAGGTTCAGGGCCTAAACTGGTCAGACAAATAATGAAGGTGTTGCTGTAAAAATTAAGGTTGAGTCTCCTAGATTCGTGATAACTTACCACACTTGTGTAGAGACACAAATACATATTTCTTCTTCACCTGCTTCTCTACTTATTTTTAGACTTAAAAATCAAATGCTACAGTATAAAGTATCTGGGTTACAACAACATCTACTTTGGTGTTATTTAGCATAATGTCTTTCTCAGTTTAGATATTTTCCCTTTAATATTGTTATATGGCACTTTTAAAATTAAATTTCAACCCCTTTTTTTCTTAATGTTTCTTAGTATTTAGCTTTATTAATAATATCCTCATCTGGAGATACTATACATGAAATATGATTTTAGACTATCGGACCGTTATAGCATCTGTCCGACCTCCTCTGGAATATTTTTAGTGCAGCAGAGATAAAAAATGTAACCACAGGAAACAGTACCTGCCAAATGGTGTGTCATATATAATGTACCTAGCTCTTTGCTCACCCAAGACTGTCTGCCAAAGTCTATCACAGGGGTCGGCAACCTCTGGCACGTG